TGTATGAGAATATCCAACAGAGATGGAAGTCGAATATTAGGCACGATCACATTTTCAAAACAACGAACATTATTCAAGAATGTCGAAAATATATTTTTTCTACTAAATGAAGTCAAGTGGGAAGTTCTCGATTATAGTATGTTACTCTCTACCCAACGGATGTGTAATATCTATTTAAATCGTATGTACTCTCTATTTATAGTATATTATTGGTTTCCTCAATTTTCTCTATTTATAGTGTGTTATTGATTACGGGAAAATTGACCCGACGAATATGTAATATCTACTTAAATTATATGTACTCTCTATTTATAATATGTCACTTATTTCCTCAATTTTCTTTATTTATAGTGTGTTATATATGTAATTAAGAGTAATTGGTTATTTATTGTACAATTACATAAAAACAAAAGTATTATAAACATTTAAAAAAAATGCTTACGTTTTAAATTATTACAACCATGGATCACAATGTAAAAAAAAAAAAAAAAAAAAAAAAAAAAATTAAAATTTTAATGTGTGTTTGTTTTTTATTCTTTAAAAGTAACTGGCATAATTTTCTCAATAAATTAAAATGTGCAAAGCAAAACAAAACAAATGATATAAGATGTTTGAAAGTTTGATTTTTCTAAATCCATAATCTCGTACTACTTATCGATATAGATCGATCCGATCCGATATCACTAAAACAATTCAAAAGGATTAAATATATATATATATATATATATATATATATATATATATTTATTTATTTATGTTTTAGGCCTTCTATTATAATAAGTGAGCCCATCAAGATAGTTCAAATATTTTTTAAAATAAATAATTAATTAAAATCTTGTTGGGGCTATGATTTTCAATGAAAAAATAAATAAAATCTTTATTTTTCTAATTTTTTCAATTTCGGATCTAATTTCTGATAACATAGTTAATCGGATATGAATTTAACATTCAAATATCCGTTGGATTATTGGATTGGATCAAATAAGATAATTATTCTTAACAGATCGAATCGAATTTGAGTAGATCCGATCCATATATCCGATCCATTTATAACCCTAACTTCAATGCAAAGATTCCACAATCGCTCTGGTTCGAATTCACGAAAGAGGCTGGGCAACGTACCATTGACGGATTTCACTTTCATCGTCTTCTCCGGCATAATTTCTTACATAATGTCACTTTCATCGTCTTCTCTGGCATAATGTCACATTATCCAAACTCGCGACATTATCTGTCAAGTTGGGAGGTCATTTCCGGCATAGTTATGTATATTAATGTGTGTTTAGTTTATCAGCTCTACGCCACGTTCGATACTAAAAATTCAATGTACTTCAATTAGGGTTGTCAATAGATTGAATTTTGATCTGAATCCGATGAAATTAATGGGAGATGGATTTAGGGTCTCAATCCGATAATCCGTTAACTAAATAAATCAAATATGGATATATGTCAATCTAATCTGATAAATAAATAAAATCTTTATTTATCTAATTTTTCAATTTCAAATCGGATATCCAATAACATAGTTAATCGGATATGGATTTAACATTCAAATATCCGTCGGATTATTGAATCGGATCGGATAGAATAGGAAAATTATTATTAATGGATCGGATCGGATTTGAGCAGATCCGATCCATTTACGATCCTAACTTCAATGCGAAGATTTCATAATCACCCGGGTCGATTTCACGGAAGAGGTTGGGCAACGTACTCTCAACAGATGTTCTCTTATTTGCCTCGATCGTGTACGGAGAAACAATGTATTGTGACAGCAATCTAGTCCTCTTGCTAACCATTTGTTCTGGCACGTCAATAATATGTTTCGTACAGGGTGTCATCCAAACTCGCGATGTTATCTGTCAAGTTAGGGGTCCTCTTCGGCATAGTTATGTATATTATTTATTTAATATTTATTTACGTTGTTTAATTATTTATTTAATCACTTAATTAAATAAAAAATTAATATTTAATTTAATTTCTTATTTAGATATTTCATTTATAAATTATCTTAATTGGTTGTGTGTAGTATATATCTAATATTTCATTACCTTATTTAAATAAATTTTACAATATATATACAATTATTTCATAAATAAAAAAATATTTACAATTATTTCGTCCCCACCATCGGCACCTCTTCCATCTCCACTGACATTCATAATGATTCTGATGAAACATCTGTGTACATCCCACCCCTCCATCGCCACCCTCCCTGTCACCATCTCCGCTATTCTCTGTCACTATCTGGGACCCTTATCGCCTGCAGACCGTATCTCCTCAGATACGACTCCGACCCTCCTCTTTGATCAACGGTGTCAGCTCAGCGAGCAATTCAAACTGACATATTAACATTTCACCGAGTTAATGACTATGCATGCATCGAGATTTCGAAATGACGTACAACTTAAATCACAAATGAATAATACGTATCTCAAAATCGTTGAGGAGAGCTGATAATTGTTAGCTTTATTCCCATGGATAGTTGTTGAATGTGTCAATGTCATCAACAACTTCCAAATGAAAGACGTCGATCGACGTCTTATTGTGATGACACCTCAGTATGCTCTCTAGTATAAATATCCTCAACTTCAACTTGTCAAACATATCGTCGCATTCATGGAATGCATCTCCTAACCGTGCCAAAGTTACCGTCATAAGCAGGATTGGTGTAACAGGTCTGCACACTCCTCATCCAACAAATTTAGAACTAATGCGAAGCTGACAAAATTATAGTTTGACGTAATTTTGTCGGGAATCTGTCTCATAGCGACGTCCAAATGGTAATTCATCTTGTAAAATTTAAAATATTTGGACCTTGCATAAGGGACAATAGATAGAGCATAATATTTGAAAATTAAATAGTTTATTTACTTATTTAAATTGTGTATTAAATATTTAATTGTTAACTATTTGTTTAAATTGTTTATTGAATATTTCATTGTTAATTATTTATTCAATATTTAAATGTGTATTTAAATTATTTATTTTAATTGTTTGGTTGTTTATTTAATATTTATTTTAATTGTTAATAGAATGTTTAATTGTTTATTTTGAATGTTAATTATTTATTTCAATTGTTTATTTAATATTTAATTACTTATTTTTATTATTTATACTTATGGTTCATTTAAATTATTTATTTAATACTTAAACGTTAATTATTTATTTCAATTGTTTATTTAAATTTTTTATTTAATATTTAATTACTTATTTAAATTACTTTTTTTTTATATTTATTGTTCATTTAAAATATTTATTTAATATTTAAATTCTAATTATTTATTTGCGTATTATTTGATTTATTAAATTACGTATTAAATATTTAATTTAATATTTTATTTAAATATCTCATTAATTACTTTAATTGGTTATCTATATTGTTTGTTTAATATTTAATTACTTATTTTAATAGTTTATTTCATATTTATTTACTTCATTTAATTATTTATATTAATTTCTCATTTATTTTAATTATTTATTGAATATTCAATTGTTGATTATATTTATTTCATATTTATATTTTAAATAAAATGAAATAAAAAACAATTAATTATTTTACTAAAATAAACAATTTACATAATTCATGAAATATTTATAAACAATTAAATTCAATATAATCCATGAAATATTTATAAACAATTAAATTCAATATTAAAAAATAAAAAATGACTAAATATTTATTTAAATTCTTTATTGATATTTATTTAAATGCTTTGCAAATAATTAATTTGATTGATATTTTAATTTTCTAATTTAATAGCTTATTTTTATTAATTTACGAATGTTTAAATATTTATTTAAATTCTTTATGTATATTACTTATTTAATATTTAATTATTTCGTTCAATTTTTTTACTAACACTTATTTTCATCATTTATTTTAATATTTTCATTGCTTATTTTAATTATTTTACTAACACTTAATTTAATTATTTATTTTTAATTAATGTTTAAATACTTTTTTTAATTCTTTATTCATATTGCTTATTTAATATTTAAAAATTTATTTTAATTGCTTTGCAGAAATTTAATTTGATTGATAATTTAATTGCTTGTTTATTATTTTATAGATGTTTAAATATTTATTTAAGTTCTTTATGCATATTACTTATTTAATATTTAATTATTTCTTTTAATTTTTTTACTATTACTTAACATAAAATAAGTAATTAAAACTAAATTGGCAAATAATAAATATTTAGATAAATAATAAAACATTTATATTAAGCATTTCAAAGAAATAATTTTAAATACATAATATACATTAAAATTAAACAATTCAAATAATAATTAAATATTAGACAACACAATATAAACAATTAAAATAAATAGTTAACTTCAAAAATTAAATGAAATAAATAAATAAGTAATTTAAAAAAATAATTCTGGGCCTAGAAAACTGTCGGCCTAGACAACTGGGCCGTCTGGACGCCAGGTGGCCCAGTCAACTGGGTGCCCAGGCGACCTAGACGGGCTGCCCAGTCAACTAGGCACCCAGGTGACCCAGTTCACTGGGTTGTCTGGGCAGAGTTGACTGGCCCAGACAGCTCAATCAACTAAGCTGTCTGGGTGAATTCGGGTCGTCTGGGCATACCTAAATGGCCCAATCAGCTAGGCTAATCGCCTCCTTTGTGGAGATCGTCAGAAAACTCCATTTTCGACGATCTTCACTCCATTTTCCTCCTCCCAAACTATTATCATTACCCAAAAATCATGCATTTTTCCAAAAATCAACGCATGTATACAAAATCATTTTTTTTCATCCAAAAATCAACATAAAAACATTAAATATGGGTCGTCTATTTTCCTTTTTTTATCAGTGCTAGAGTAATTTTTCTCTTTTCTTACTATCTTCTCTTTCTTCTTTAAATAGTAAGGGTAAATTTGAATTTATCTTGATATTCAATATTTTAAACATTTTGTTTTTTTTTTAATTGGTCAAAGGTCTCTTTGAAAAAATAGCCGGATCAACCAGCTATTGGCCACTATTTCCTCTTTTGACCCATGAACCCGATCCGACTCGGAAAGAGACAGTTCACAGATTGGACGGTTAATTTCTTCATCGCCGGCTATCATTCCCTCGACAATATATATTTACATGCTATAATCCCATCCAATTCTTCGATACAAATCGAATTTAGCGATATTTGAGCTCAGATTGAGTAGGGAAGAAAAGTAATTATGAGGAGTAGCTCTTGGCAGCAGAAAGAGCTCGCATTTCTCATCTTGTACGCCGTCGTTTTCTACGCAATCGTCATTCGCCGCTCTCTCCAACTCTCCCGTGGTACATTTGTTTACTATGTTACATTTATCTATCCGTATTTATGAGGTTTTACTGATTTCACTATTTTGGTTAACTGTAATCACAGATCATTACTCCAAGCTCTACGGTTTGCGCCCTGGATGGATTTCTCATCGATTTAACGTATGTAAATTTTGTAGTAATTATTTACTGATCAGGCTAATTGTTATAACTTATCATTTTTTGCTTCAACTACTCTATTTGTCTCAATGAGCAGGTACTTTTCTTCCGTGATTTATCTTGGACTAAATTTAATGAAGGTTTCATTCTAGAAAAACGTATATATGGAATCAAATGCACCCTTTTTCAACTAGGAGCCTAAATTGTTTGCCAGGAATCAGTAGTGTCCAGGAATTGAAGCATACCAATTTCAATTGAACATTATTTCAAGTTACTAATAATTAGAATAGCATATCTAATTTTGGTAATTTCTCTAGGATGTGATTGAGGAACAAAAGGTCATCTATGAAAGTAGTTTTTGAATTTGTGAAGATTGAATGCTAACAATCAAATCTTGTTAGCAATGGAAGAGAGTCAACTTGCTTATAATAAACTATTGTTACCTGTTAGAGGATATATGGATGGGACAGAATGCTAGAGTCATGATATTAGATCAAGTCAAAACAATTTTTATATGCCATTGAATTGTTATGCACATTCTGATATGCGATTCTTTACCTTTTTATTTTAGGATGTTTCTGATGCCCAATGGAGAAATTTTCGGGGGAACTTACCTATTCTCTCCATTGTGTTTGGGATTTTCACAGTGGTCGCCTGCATGTTCAGAGCATTATATTGTTTGAAGGCGAAGGGGATGTCAATTGTTTGGCTTCTGATTTCTATGGCTTATTTATCATATCTACACGGAGCATGGTATGTACTCCATCTCTTTTTGTTTTTGTTTTGCGACTATAAATATATTTTATACTTGAGACTGCTATAGTAATTTTAGTGACGCTTTGTTTTTGTTTGCAGTGTCATATTTATCCTCGCTATTGCTTCAGCTAATTTTCTTCTAGTAAAGGTTGGCTTTCTTCGAACTCTTGATGCATTGTCATTGTCTTGTTATCATACTTAATGTAGAATGTGTTGTGTATATACATAGTAAAACACCGTTTATGATCTCTGGCAATTATGTAACAATCATACACGCTGTGTATTTATCTTGGTGGCTTAATATTGTATGGTCGTGTTAAGTTAAAATTTTAAAATGCCAGCTTTTACCATCCTTCTTCATAGTACCAAATAATGCTTCTAATACTCTCATGTTTACCAGATTTTTGTTTCTGCAGATATGTGGAAGGACAAAATACTTCTCATTTGCACTTTGGGTTTTCAACCTATCTTTTCTTCTATGTAATCGCATTTATGAGGGATATCTATTCTCGAGTTTTGGGTAAGCTATTTTGTTGTTACGATCCTCAGGATTTTCACCTTGCGTTCTTCAAGTATTGTCACTTAAGATTATTTTTCTATTTTCTTCACTGTAGGCAAAGCTGGGCTTATTTGGATAACTTTCGGGGAACCTTCAGATGGCATATTTGCTTTAATTTTGGTACTTTCTTGGCCTCGGTCATTTTAAGGTTTCAGCTGCAGTATTCCTCTTGGAAGTCTGATTTTCACGCATTTGTGAATTCCCATTTTGTATCATGTGATTGTACTGATTGCCTGATTCTTTTATCATTTTCAACACTTCATGCTGTTGTACGTTGCAGCACTTCCACGTTCTATAGCCTTTTCCCCTTTTATTTTGGGTTTAATACGTTCTCTAGAAGTGTTTGCATGTCTGAATTACATTGTACTTTACCTATATACTTTAGTGACTGTGACTTAAGTTTAGGCCTATCCTTTCCACCACCCCAAATTTAAGTAACAATTGCAAAAAAATAAACAACCTCAACTTGACAAAGCCTTGTCCCATACTTACCTAGGTTGACTACATAGATCCAGTGGCGGATCCAGCACCTGGCGAGCACCCGCGGCCGCCCGTGCTAGATCCGCCGACAGCCCTTTTTTTGGTTGGCAATAGATGAATTTTTTAGGTTATATATCCGATAATCATTTTTCATTCAAACGTTGCTTCTAGCCAACTTGGTTAGTGCTGGTTTTTACATCTTGCAGGTCCAGGTTCGATCCTTTATAAATAAACTTTTATTGTTCAATTTTTTTAGTTTTACAATTTTTTATCAAAAATTAATGGAATGAGGAAGAGGGGATTTGAACCTGGAGCTATTGTTCGAATTATTAAAAGATTGACCATTATACCACGCGTTGAATTGTGACAATAGATTTAACTAATTTATATATATTAGATCTTAGCTTGTTTTAATGCAACAATAAAGATTTAAACTTGTGCTCTTCTTTGGAATTATATAAAACTTGGCAACAATGTCATTTGATGAGTAAGGTTTATTTTTTTAACAAAATTATATATGTTCAATTTCAACAAAATAATTGTTATATTTAAATTTTAGATCTTGTTTGATTCCCATTTATTTCAGAATATATTTTTCTCTTTTATTTTCAATCATATATTCTTTAATAAAATAATGTTAGACAAAATTCAAAACTTTTCCTTATTTTTAATCACATATTTTCCATCAAATCACTATTTCCTAAAATGCATTTTTTGCAAAAATAGAAAAATGACATCAAACGAGCTCGTAATATTTTATTGGGCCTACGGCGGCGATCATTGGTTGCCCGTGCTGACTCAAAATCCTGGATCCGCCACTGATAGATCCTCATCTTGCACTCTGCTTTATTAGGTTAAAGCATAAAATGTCAAATAATTTCCACTTTCCTCATTAACAGGATTTTCGGTAGTTTTCCTCCTGGTTTATCATGGATATTACCTTATCAACTTTAATAATGGGTGCATCTAAAGGCCTGCACTAAGCATGTCGAAACCATCTCAAATGATTCACCTGCAATTCATCTTCGATATTTGCTACCTTAACCAAGTCGAATAAATCAACAAATAAGAAATTGAAACAAATGTTCTCTCTTGCCTTTTTAATCTCACCTGAAAGATTGCTCCTAGTTCTCATGCTATAGCTTATAACATCATCAAAATTTCAAAATAGATAGTAACATTTAGCCCCCGTTTGAGCCCCATTAATTTGTATTACATTACATTTCATTTTTTTCTCTTCTATTTTCAACCGCACAATTTTCCATAAAATAATATTACACGTAAATCGAAAATTTTTCTTTCTTTTTCAACCACTCATTTTTCAAAAAACACTATTCTACACATTAATTTTTTCCGGTCATGGGGGCCAAACAGGAGCTAAATACAGTTTGGATTTAGGTCACGTGATCTGTTCAATTAACAACTTTGAGCTTGATTGAGAATGCAGAGTCTTAGTATTCAGGATAAATTCGAGCTGATTTATAATTTAACCTAAAGAATATATATATACGTAGAACAGAATGAACTTATGGAATTGCACATTTAACATCATCACATAGTTAATGCAGGTGTACACACTGTACCAGTGCTCACATATTTCTGCCTTTGGATGCCTACAGGGATATATAAGAATGAAGACAGTGTGCAAGACAAGGCACGCTAGTTTTGGAATTGATGTTTTCCTTTTAACTCAGCAGCATAGATCTCTCCGATGCTTGAGAATCTGTTACTTGTTGGATACCACATTCTTCTATTTTGAAGGAAATTAAATGTTATTATGGTTTTCTGATGTCCCTCTCCATGACAAAGCTGTAGATTTCAGCATTATTATTTACTTGTCACAAGTATTATGCGAGTGATATATTTAATTATCATAATCAGTTTAAAGCATTTGTATATTTTGTCACAAATCCTCTTATTCTCACCAACACACGATGAAATGTAACAATCTTTTATCTCATCTTTTTTATGGACATGAAAATTTCCTTTTATCTCATCTTTTTTATCTACTTTTTCTTTTCTTTTGGTAGTTGCTTTGCGAATGATAAGCTTTGGATATGATTACCATTGGGCGGATCAATACAATCGTTTTGATCAAAAGGTACTTTTTTACTTCTTTATGTAGCAGATCTTTGATGGCTATTCTGAAGAACTAATTCTTCATTCCCCTACTGCACGCCACCCTATTGTGCAAGGACCTAAGTTCATCACATTGCAACATGTTAATGCATTGGAAGTCTTTTTTAACTACAAAATTTCTTATATAGGAGAATTGTAATTTAATCTTCTCTTGAAAACAATGCTCCTTAAAACTTCCATTAACTGGATAGTAGACAGTCCTTTGATGTCAGATAGAAAACACATTGTAGGTTGAAACTTTAAACTCCCTGATGCTTTGACTTAGCAATTCTATGTATCTCAAATAACTGTAGAAGAGAATATTAGCAGGTTTTTAGATTATTTAGACTTGTGTTTTGAGAGTAATACTGTTATCCTAATACTAATTTAAGAGCATAAAGATATCCCAAATGACCACACACACGTGATAATTTTTGAGTGTTCCTGGTATCAGGAAAAAAAATACAAAAGGGAAAAACTCTAGGAGAGTGACTCAGTTGAAGCTCTACAGTTGCTCTTGCGGAAGTGCATACAAGTGTCCAAATTTTCATTGTTATTCGAAATGCAGTGCATAAAATTTCCTGAATTAATTCACAACAGGAAAAGCAGTATCATCGACAGAAATAACATATGTTGTCAAGGTTTTTGTGCCTTTGAGAATGATGCTTGCTCACCTTAGAATTACCTGTGTAACATCCCCTTCAAAATAATCAAATGAGGCCAAGATAATAAAATGAAGAGAGAGAAAAAAATGTCTCGACCTCCAAATCTCTTCTCCCCCTCCCAAATTAATTTCTAGCATATTTCTCAAGTTTGTATGGTTGTGAAGGAGATAGACTAACGTATGTTTTCTGTGGAACCTCTGATCAAGAGACCTTATACTTGGCTTATTTCAAGACTGAATAGATGGACATGCTGATCCGCTGATTTGAGCCTCCTTATACTGCTGAGTCAAACAGATTTTTTTGACACTTAATAATTCATCACAGTATTACACATAAGTGAAAAACTTGATCCAAAATCACATACTTATTAGGTTCCCATTTTATTTCTTGATCGCTTATTAGTTACTTTTCCTGTTGGCCATGCCACAATAGGGATGGAATTAGTGTTTCTTCTGACATTTAGATTTCTGTTAATTAAGAAGCACATTCAACGCTGTGTGAATTGTTCATCAGGCAAGACATGCTACCTCCTATTACAGGTGAGCTCTTGCTTCTGCAACTATTCTTTGAGTACAATTATTTGCTTCATCTCTATTGCTTCAAAATTTGTACCAATATTTTCCTGACTGTTTATTGGCTTTTTTTATTTTATTTTTATTAATACATTTTCCAGGAGAGAGGTGTCCCAAATGACAGGTGTTCATTTCCAATATACTTGTGTTATTTGGTGTATGCACCCCTTTACATTGCGGGACCAATTATTAGCTTCAACGCGTTTGCTTCGCAGGTTTTTACTGCTGATCATGATTCTTTGCATTTTTTTTCCTTGATAAAAATATGTAGATTTAAAGTTCTAGATATGCTGTAGGTTTTTTAATTATTAAATTTGCCACTAACTATTCACCACATCGGTAGTTGATACTCTTCTGAAGCTGTTTTAGTTGAATACAGATGCTACACAACGCAATGTTCACATAGTTTTCTTTTGCATTCATATGACTTTTTACCCATACCTCAATTTTTTGTTTTTACCTTGACTGGATTTCCTTGTGTGGAACATCCTTTTTGCTAAACTACCTGCAGATTTTTCTCAGCCGGAAGTGTATTTTTAATATTACAAACTCAAAAAGAAGGTTTACTAATATCTTTCAAAGGAATAATGAAAAGGAAGACACCCTAAGGATTGCCAGATGCTTTTCAACTACTCAAAATTTAATTTTTCCATACTTTCTTTTGACATGGATATATTTATCTCAATTTTCCTGAATTATACTTTATGATTGTCGGATCAATGATACTCTGCTGTTGTTGCCATAGTTCAATCCCATGAACTCCCAAAATGACTTAATTAATTTTCGTGACAGTTGGAAACTCCCCAAAAAAATTACTCATCTCGAGGAGTGGCTTGGTATGGTTTGCGTTGGTTATTTAGTTTTTTCCTAATGGAACTGATGTCACATTTTTTCTACTATAATGCATTTTCCATCAGGTGAGTGTCTTACAAATTCAAGTAAATTTCATATTAATGACATTTACTTATGTTGCATTATGTTTTAAGAATGAGTTCTCTTACTGTACTTCTAGTGGTGTGTGGAAACAGCTGTCTCCCATGGACATCTTTATTATTGGATATGGGGTAAGTGATGGCATTTGTTACATTATTGTTCCCCTTGATTTGCTAACTTACCAATACTATTCTTTGGTCTTTATTTTCCTTTGACGTAGGCACCATATATCCATCAATTGTTCCTATTACATGTATACTGTGGAAAATCACTGTACTTAGATCATTAGTTGAAAATATTGAAGTTGCTTCCTTTCTGTGGCCAGACTGCCAGACCTATAAAATTTCATCCAATTGTTCATTTTCTAGTTGACTAGTTGAAAATAATATGCTGTTTGTCCCATAAGCACTGGATAAATTGAAAGACAAGGTAAGGATTTGTTCCTTGTCTGCAAATGGGATTTGGAGAAACGAACCGTTATAATTATGTGTCTTTACCATTATTAAGGGCAAATAGCATGGAAGTGTACTTGGGGACATAAATGATAAAACTACATGACTAAGGAACCAGACATGGCCTCAATCAAACATCAACAAGCATATGCAAATAGAATATAACATAGTAGTCCTATTTTTTACAGTTAACTGTTATTGCAAAACAAGCGAAAGCTATCCTTATTCAGTATGTTCTCAAGGAGAATTGACTGGATACTTTTATATACAAGCGAAATATTATCTCTTTTTCAATGTAATATTCTTATCTTATATTTGTTATTCTCCATATAACAGGGCTAAATCTTCTTAACAAGCTCCTATGTGTGATAAAAACAGGTTCTAAACTTCATGTGGCTAAAGTTTTTCCTCATCTGGCGCTACTTCCGGTTCTGGTCGCTAGTATGTTTGTCGAAATCTCCTGTTTGTGTTGTTTCTTGCCTGAAGTTCTCAACAGCTGTCTCTGTTTTTAGTAAATTGTATGCGGAATTTTCATAGTGCAATATGTTTGGATGAATGGAATTGATTTAACAAATAATAAATCATGTAGATCAATGGCATTGAGGCTCCTGAGAATATGCCAAGGTGTGTAAACAATTGCTACAACTTGGAAAGTTTTTGGAAGAATTGGCATGCTTCGTTCAACAAATGGCTTGTTAGGTAAACTTTCTATTTTTTTTATCGCATCTGTTTTTGCAATTCATTTTTGAGTCATGCATCAATGCTGCTAACTGGGGTGTTAGGTATGTTTATATCCCTCTTGGAGGAGCTCAAAAGAAGCTGCTAAACATATGGGTCATCTTCACATTTGTTGCCATATGGCATGATTTAGAGTGGTACGGTTTAACTTCAGAATTTTTCATGTCGACCAAAGATATCCTTACTGTAGTACAACATAGCTGCTCATCTGATAATGCCTTCGATTTCAGGAAGCTTCTCTCGTGGGCATGGTTGACATGTTTATTCTTCATACCAGAAATGCTTGTCAAATCAACAGCAAATGCCTTTCAGGTAATGTTAATGCTTTATCAGCCCCATTCATCTAGTTACGTCATCAGGTGAAAATTCACACTGAATGAGGAGTTTTTATTCCAAACAGAGTATGTTGAAAACCTGATCTGCCTATTCGCCCATGAAAACCCTGTTCTGTCTTTTTTCCAGCAATATTTATCCTGCCATCATGCCAAATCTTAATACGGCTGGAGAACTGGTTGTCACATCCTATTGTTTGTCCTGCACATCACAAATAGCCTTCCTGCCTCAATATCATTTTGCAAGTTTAAATAATTAATCAAGTTGCCAGTTGGTGTTAGTCAGCTCTCTACACGCCTTTCTTAATGGTTGCAGAAAATACCTTCTTGGAGATTGAAGTTTCTTTCATAAGAATCATTGATGGATCCCATAACCCCTTATGGGCATCCAACTTTTTAGGCAATTCCAACTTGCTAGTGTGCCAAATTGACACAGGAAGCCATTTTGAATAAAAGCATTCAGTATTTTCTGTCAATTGGACGGAAGACTGGAAGTTAGAGAAAGATATAGTGGATAAGAAACACCCTTGGAATCTCCTTTTGCAAGAATGTATCCTACAAAAGATATGCTTAGATTACATAATAGTTATAGAATCATAAAATTGGGATATTTTATTAGGAAAATGGTCTAAAACGATTAGGAAACACTATATTAAGAAACTCCTACTTGGACAAGGATTTGACTCGAGGACTCATAAATCTGCAGAAAGAACACAAAATCTGGACACAGCTAAGAGATGAGATATCTCCAAGGAGCTTGTCTTAGCTCTCAGAAGAACTCCATACTTTCCATGATTATATTGTTTTTCTCGAGCTTTTTATGTCCTACATAAGTTCTTCTCAAGCCAAATGTGACGGTTGTTGCATTATAGCATGCTGCCATACAATCTTTCTGTGCAAACCAGAAACATAAATGTGAACCGTAAAACAGTTTATATCAAACGTAGAAATTTCAATGAGGATACCTGAATGGGACTTTCATTTCCACTCTATCCCTGCATTGTAAAGTCTATCTTCTTCTTTTTATTCTGTGGTGATTCTGCTTGGACTCACTGGTCTTCTCCTTTGTCAGCTTGTTAGGATAAATAAATTACTCCTTATCAACAAGGACAACTTGGCGTATATAGAGTTAGATCTTAATAATTAGGGAAAGAGCATTGGTATTTTTTCTATCAGAGGGGAGAAAGTATAGGGCTTTACAAGACCCCGCACACAGGAGAGAAAAAATGCCTTTGAAATTATAGTTTGTCATCTCCATTTTCGTAGAGTAATCACATTTAGAAACTGTTCTGAATGACCTTTTTTGGCCTTCCAAGAAATAAGAAGAAAATAATAAATGACATGATTTTCAATATCCAGTAGTTAAACCTACCAGTCATAACTACTGGCAACTTGAATAAATTTACCAAGCATTACTTAACAGAATTTCTTAGAGATGCTTGCTCATAAGAGAATAGATGAATTTACAACTCCCCAATGTATGTTACTGCACATAAAATTAAGCAACAAGAAAAAAGAAAAGGAAAGATTTGTGAATGAACATTTATAAAATGCTTCTTGAATATGGACATCTGTTCCACCACTTTCACGATTTTCTAAATCAATTTTCAATGCCATGTTTGTTTACAGGTGAAGGGTGCTTTTGGGAGATTTGTTTTTCGTGAGCTTAGAGCTGTCTCTGGTGCTGTTACTATAACTTGCCTCATGGTATGTCCTCTTCTTCATCATTAAGCCAAAATAGTATCTTGTTTAGTATGGATGCATTGTCAAGTATTTGTTTACCTTATCGTTTTAATTTTAAGACAGATTACTGACATAGTATTTCAGTGAAATGTCTGGCTGTGCTGGTGCTTTTAGGAGTGACAACTGGATGGATTTAATAAATTTCAGTTAAGTTTTTTTTTTTATAAAGAAAAATAAAAAAGTGATAGAGTTTTACATGTAAATTTTGAATGAATTGGAATTGAATACTAGTTCAATAACTGGAATTTATGTGAATGTGTATAGCTGCTCATTCTAAAAGTTTTGTCCATAGTAGATATGGAAATCTATCGGAGTTAAGCGTGATGCATCAATGTTGCATTTATTATTTTTTTCGGTATGAAAGCTATAATGATTAATGTACTAATGCATTTTAATTAACAAACCATACACTTTCTGATGAACTTTGACATGAGACTTGAGTTTGAGGACCTTCACCTTGATCTTGTAATAATGCACCAATGCATACTGTCCTGGATTTCATCACAGCTGCATTGTGCAAATTGAAGCAATCAACCATACGTGTTTCGTATCATTGATATAAATATGCCTAGAGGAACAATGTGTGACGATTATTCTTTTTTGGTATTATATTTATCTTACAAATTTTGATGTTGAACTGAATTATATGCACGTATCAACATTCTGTTATTGCTGTATTGAAATTTCTTGTGGTATGTAAGCTTGTGAATATTCAGAATTTTTAAGCAATGGTCTACAGGTGGCAAATCTTGTTGGTTTTGTGATTGGGCCATCAGGCATTAATTGGTTGGTTTCTGAATTCCTCCAAAAAGAAGGTATGTTTTCTTGCTTCCTACTTGTAAGAGAAGTACTGCAGCGGAGTAATTGCAACCCTTCTGTTTTGCAGCATTGCCTATACTTGGTGGCATGTTTGTTTCTTTCTACATTGGAACCAAGGTATCAAGTACTCTCAAATACTTTTATCCTTGAACTTTTTGTCTTTTGGTGTGAGTTTAAATTTATTTAAAAACCTAAATTGTGCAGCTTATGTTTCACATTTCTGATGCTAAGCAACGGAGGGATCAGACAAGATGACGTGAAGGTGTGTTTCCTGTCCTAAGTTAAAGAACGCATGTTTAGATATTAAAACTGGTTTTTATTCCCGTAGTCTGGTTTTACAATATGTTATACATTTTTTACTAAATTAGTGAAAGTATTTGAGCTTGAAACAAGAATGACAAGTTCCCACAAAAATGAGTGCACTCTTTTAGTTGGCGTGACTATGTGTTGGTCACATGGTTAAATGAGTATTTTGAAAACCAACAAGCTTGAGAATCATCTTTTTTAGCATGAGATTTTATCGAGTCATTGTGGTGCTAGTAGGCATGTTCTACATGTCACTTGAGTCAACATTCTCTGAAATATTTTTAACATTGATTTTCACATTCAACCGTTGCATTGCTTTTTCCCTTAACCGACCTCGAGAAAATTATAATATTTATAAGAAAGACCAATCACATGATCATATATTTTCAATTGCAGAAACCCTTAAACTATCTTATCCAATCTGAAGAGTACACTACCAAGGGGAAAGGGATTATTGTCAGGAAAGCTTGGAAGCATGATCCATCACTTGTTAATGTCTTTGTCTGATTTTAAGTGACATTTGACTCAAATATTGTTGACATAGTTTATATAGACGCAAGATCTTGTCATTGTTCTGCACTGCTAGATACTGTTTTGTGATACTTTGCTGATAACTAGAGTAAAATGAGTGTGTAATATTTGACCTTGTATCCATTTCAGCAATATCAATGGCTTACACTTTTTTACCTGTTGAAGGGAAAGAAAAACTACATCCTCCGATGAACTAATTTCTTCATTTCTTTATTGAATTCTTGTTATATTTAACTTCCTTTAAGAGTCGTTATTGTTGCGTTGTCCTTTTTTCTGGCTGTAGGGTGGGGATTTCCTCCAGAGCTTGATACAACATGCAGGTAGCAATGATCTCAAAGCCATTTACATCTCATAATTATGACTTCTTTATTTACAGAGCACATCTTAACTCTTTAACAGAAAAGACACATTCGTCCAATCAAATATAAATTTTCGCGTTGGATCAATATGTTTTAAAGCGTAGTTTGTTATTATGATTATTTTTTCTTCTAAAATCAGTCTCAACGCTCAAAAGCATAGCAATGAGTATTTCCATGTATTACGAATTGATCAAATTTCTTAAAATGTGAATTGATACAGCTAAGAAATTTTACATCCCATTTTCTACTGTATGATACCACCTGTCATGGACCGAAGTTTGCTTCACTGAAACTTTCGACCAACGCCTTAACCCTTCAATGTATTCGTCCCTTGCTGGTTAAGTCAGCCTACTTGAAACCCAGCCACGAAATTAACCCTTTTGGGGTTATGTAACTTGCACAATGGAAGACTTGAGCAAGGGGAGAAATTGCAAGACCAAGGAAACAGGGACAAGTTTGAGGAATCTGCCTTCTTTATAACTCGAGAGAAGCCTTGCAAAAAAAATTAAATAAATGAAATACACACGACGTGTTTTCCTTACCCACTCTATATCCATTACATAAATGAACGATACATGTAATATAGAAGGTATATTGCACAGAGAATGAAATAAAGGGCCAGGATCGGTTTCATCCAATGGCCTTTATCAAATTGGTGCGATCTAATTAATTAGTAATACCATCTATCTATTAACATCCATTACAATTTTATACTAAATTCGTTACACAGCCTAATCCGGTATGCTAAACGAAGCCTAAATATTATAATACTGCTCTGCGGGATTACACCTCCGGACCAAAAATTAGAGACACATAAATAACAAGTTAAAATATTAACCCACAAGTGAAACTAAACGGACATCGATAGATACACAATAAAACTAAAACCAGCCAACTATCAGAGCATCATGAACATATGAGCTCTCAAAATAGAAAAAGAAAAATGAAAACTGTTAGCAGCAGTGTTTCCATCTACCCAAAGAAGATTCGAGTCCAGCTGAAACCAGAAGTTTTTAAGTAGCCATAACACGGAATTTCATCAAAGAACGTGAGCAAAATTAAACGCGTGTTCAATGTTCAGACAAGCAAGCAATGAAAGAATTCACACCCAAGATTGCTGTATAATATTGAACTCACAGTTGCATGCAAATGCAACCAAGAACTCAGTTTGAATGTACAACACAAATGAAGGTCTTATGCTTAATCAACAGAAGATTAACGAAGCTGTTAGAAAGTGAGAAATGTATTTTCCTACATGTACAAATCCTAGTGTCTTCCAGTTATAAAAAGAGTGTAGATGGCTTTTCCATACGTAACTGCTGAGAATTCCAAAACCAATATCTAACTTCATGTTACCTTGTCCCATCTTCATTAGCAGCAGGCACGTTTGCTGGGTAATTAGACATGTTTATGTCAATGAAAGTAAGTTCATAGGGAACAGAATTTATATTTGATGCGTCCATGAGCAATGGCAAGTCCGTTGCCTCTGATTTTACAGTATCATGTACAACTCCAGAATTTTGAGGAGTACTGCTGCCTGAAGATGATAGACTGGATAACTGTATATCTTCCAACTTGTTACTTAACATGTTTTTGTTTTTTCTTACGGTATCCATTTCAAGGCCAGTTGGGACAAAAGTCCGAGCCCTATATTTCCTGGCACCCTCATCACCCTCACTGTGGTTGTAGAGCACATAATCGTGATATGTTGGTGCAAACTGTATGATGAAATAATAGACACCAAAGAAAAGAATGGTCAGGGACTATAAAATAGATTTGCTCCTAAAGAAGCTTGTGTCCAGAGTAAATGGGTGAGAATTGGAACATCACCTGGTGGACAGCATCATGGTAAAAGTCATTTAATTTCAGAGCATGTGCAAGGCTTGCTGAAAAGTCACCAGAAATACCAATATTTGCACCAGCATACTCCTTGTAGGGGAATGCATAAAGATGCCCAACTGCCGCGACAAGCATCTCAACACAAATTATAAAATTTTGAAACTCAGCAGCTTCCTCTGTATCTTTTATTAATCCAGACTTGGCGGCTAGAAAAACCAAAACACCCTGTAAATAGAAGGAATTTAATAAGAATAATTCTTAAAGCTTTTAAGTTGCTGTCTTTAGAAGACACATAAATTTAGTTATCAAGCATCCAATAAATTTTACACTTTACACCAATTAAACACAAGCCTCCATTTTAGATTTGTTGCTTCTATTGATTCCCATAACAACGAATTCAAAAGCAGCCACAGCAATTATGAAGCACCAAGTTGGGGGGAAATAACAATATAAAAATGAAATTCAGGCAAGACATGTGAAAAAACTAAATCAGCTATGATATAACATTATCGTTTCAAGTAAGGGATAAATCTCCATGCTTGGTATTATTCTGGCTCTAATAAAAACATCAAAGAACAACATTTATTGAAGAAAATGGCATCATGTTGCATGTAAAGTCTAAGATCAGTGAATGGATATAAAACAATAAATATGTAAATAACGATATGCGTATGGCAAAAGTAGTTTTTTATTTTTATTTTTTACTAACGGTCTGAAGTAACAAATCGGTACAGAATTTCAAAAATAGCAAAAAAGAAATGTTAGATTGCATGAATAGCTTGGGAATCATGTCCACAGTTTGAATGATCACCAAGAGTGGACGTGCATTCCATTCAGAGTGATTGTCAGTTCACTATGTTTCTGCAAATGGTTAGGAGGAATATGGCAAAAACATTGATGCGAGTTTGAAGGATATAGAAGCAAAACAAAGATATAAATTGAAACTAGAAAGCATATATCAGATGTCAGTTCAGGTTAGAGTCCAACAACAAAATTATGCATGTCCACTTTTATCAGTTCCATTAATATGTCTTCAAGAATTTA